CCGGGTCCACCCACACTGGGTTCCGGGCGCTAGTGCCCACCAACGAAGTTCTCCCAGCCTGCCCGGGAGTCCCTGCTCGCGCCAGGCTATCTGTGGGGCTTGTGCTCTTAGCCGCTTGCCGGTCGGGGAGGTTGGGTGCCCAGGAACTCTGTCCCAGCCAGGAGGTGCGCAGAGCGAAAACCAGAAAGGGCACGGCAGGCCCTGTGCATGTCCTGCACCCCTTAAGCTGTAAATCCCTGCTGTGTGCCAAGCGGGGACTCAGCAGTGAGCTCGACAGAGGGCCCCTGTTTCCGTCAAGGAGCAGGCAGAAGTGGCCAGAGGGGCATGCCCATGGGTACCTGCGATCTCACGCGGAGACCCGCCAGGACAGAAACATGGCCTGAGGATCTGGTGCTGTAGGGCACTTTGGTGGTATGCCAGCCAGGGAGGCAGGAGCTCTGGTGCCAGCATGGAGCCAGAGTTCATTACTAGCACAGGGACAGCCAGGGAGGAGGTCGTAGAGGTGGTGACCCAACCAACCTGGGGGCTAAGAAGTAGCCCCGCAGCGTAGAGGGCGTGTTGAGGAGCGTGATGGCAGAGACTGTCACTTGTGCTCACAGGGACTTGGGGTCAGTCGCCCAAGGAGGGCCGCCATGCCCCAGTGCACAGGATAGAACCCCCCGCCCAATGGCTAATGGACAGTTGCCCGAGTGCATGAGGAGTGAGGTTGCAGGTGGGGTGGTGCACCCAGCTTGCCTCATTGATGGCCCTCGCCAAAGTGACTAAGTGGCACTTTTTGCAGAAGGAAGGAAAAGTCACAGCCCCATGAAGCGTCAGCGAAAGGCTCAGAGAGTACATGTGGGCTATGAGGCCTCAGATAGTGAGAAGGGTGAGGGGGCTGAGCCCCTCAAGGTTCCAGTCTGGGAGCCCCAGAACTGGCAGCAGCAGCTGGCTAACATCAGAGCCATGAGGAGCAAGAAGGACGCACCCGTGGATCAGCTGGGGGCCGAGCACTGCTATGACCCCAGCGCCCCCCCGAAGGTAGGCAGGGCCCCATCTCCCCGTGGTCCCCCTCCCAGCAAGGCCTTATTTCCTCCCTGGCCTTTGGCAGGGGACAGCTTAAGAACTGGCTGCTCTTGGCTGGCCCTCCCCTGCAGATGGCACCTTCACCAGGGCTCCTTGTGACTTGGGGGCTGCATAGCCTGCTTTCTGCTGGGCACAGGGTTGGGACGTCAGTGGCACCCAGAGATGTGAGGAGAGTCCCTCATGTGGCCCTGGTGCACGGCCCTGGCCTAGAGTTTGGGTCCTTAGGACCACCTGGATTTCTTTTTGTTTATTTGGTTGGTTTTTTTCCTTTTTTGGAGAGGTTTTTGCTATAGGGCACGTGTGCTCACCAGAAAGACAGAGACAGAGAGACAGAAAGTGAGAAATCACCCCCCAGGGGGGATGGCCATGCCACAATCCCTTCTCCTCTATTCTCCTCTCGGGATCTTGGGCCTGCACGCACACGCGCCTGGCATGAGTTTAAGCCACTGGGTCCGGGACTCGAACTGCGGTCAACTACATGAGAGTTCAGCGACATAGCCGTTATGCCAACTGCTGGTCCCAGGCCTCCTTGATTTCTAGTCCCTGTTCTGCTGCTGGGCAATTTAGGCTCACAGCTCTGCCCGGTTTTCACCTGTAAGGCAAGCGGTAGTATCCTCCGTGGAGCAGGAGCAGAGGTGGTGGCCACCGGTGGCCGAGCAGCGCCACACCGGGCGTTGGTGCCGTGATAACGCACTGCAGCTTGCTGCTGGTTTTGTGAGGCAGGCACTAGCCTCGTCCCCGTGCCATACCTGACAGAATGGGCCCCAGCCAGGTGCCCGGCGGGCAGGAGACGAATGCCCTGTGCAAGGCCAGGGCAACAAGTAAGGCTGGGTGGAGGCTGTGCTTGGGCCCGCCCAGGACATGCGCCCACGACCCACTGCCGTCCTGGCTCCTGCTGCCGTGCGAGCAGGTGCGGAGGTACCAGGTACTGCTGTCGCTGATGCTCTCCAGCCAGACCAGAGACCAGGTGACAGCAGGGGCCATGCAGCGGCTGCGGGCGCGGGGCCTGTCGGCCGACACCATCCTGCAGATGGATGACGACACTCTGGGCGAGCTCATCTACCCTGTGGGCTTCTGGAGGGTGAGCCTGGTCTGTGGGGACAGGCCTGCGAGGGGTGCTGGCTTGAGACCTCAGGGTGAGGGTCGTGGCTGGGGACCCGGGACCTGGACACGAGTTCCTGCCAGAGCCCCCATCTGCCTGAT